AAATGCTGAATGGCAAGTGGCCAATACTGGGGCATACCCGGAACAAGATTGGCGCGTGCTCCCTCTAGCATATTTCTGACTTCCCTTTCGATGAAGCTCTTTGAGGAGTCCACGTACTCAATGGAGGTTTGGTGACGATACCCTAACTCCTTGATACCAGCGATCAACTCACGGGAATTGTCGGTGTAAATAACCTCAACTGCATCATCCGGGGCAACGAAATGCTGAAGTGCAATCACTACCTCATCCGAACTTTTGGATTGAGCGGGGTAAATACTCCGGAACTTTGTACGCAGGTCTTTCACCGCCAACGCTACCCGTTCACCACGATTCCCTTCTTCGATGTTCGTGCGCACGACGACGTGATCAGCAATCAGATGGTCACCGAATGCCTTGGTCTGAACGTGACTCTCACCCCCTTTCTTTCGTGCCTGGGGCGCAAGCATCCTGGCTCGCTGACACACTTTGCAGAATGGGTTCTGGGGGAAGTGATGAAACTGGTGTTTTGCGGACTGTGCCTCACGCATCAAGTCTCCTACTTTTCGCGATCGTACCAGACGGCTTTCATCATCGTCTGGCACTTCTTCATCGATGCCCTCATCTTCTTTCTTGTCCGATGGGCTCGAGATCGCTCCCGGCAGTGCAAACAACTTCTTCAGGGGTTTGTCCTTCTTGACATTGAACTTGCCCTTACCAAAGACTTTGCAATCGGAATCGAGGACTGGGACATGACCGTCAACACGAAGCTGAACAATTTTCTCGTCCGGTCTAACCAGGATGGGAGTACCATTTGCTGGCCAAATGAAACTGTACCCTTGGTCGAGACACTTGATACCGAAAGATAGCACAGCGGGGCATTCGTCCAACAAATATGGCGTGCACGGTTCCAGTAGCTGTTTCATCCGAACATCGGCTACCTCACTGGCTTCGGTCGATCCGTTCGCAGTAATCAAACTGATGGTGTGAGGCGCCCTTCGGGGGTTCTCTGCACCAGCAGCGTCCATAACTTTTCTGCTGAGGAGGTCTTGCTCGCTCCCTGAATCGACAAGCCAAGAGAACCTGCCTTCCCTCGGTGCCGGACTTGCTACGATGGTTGGAATTGTCGTAGGACATGACTTTAGTTTGATCAAGCTCCTGCAAGCACGGCACGTGAGCGACGATTCGGTGCACTTAAAGTGGCATGATGGCACATTAGAGCACTCGAAGTTACGAACGACTTCAGCCAACTGCCTAGCTTTCACTTTGGCCATGTTGGTTGCCTTCGGGTCACTCTTGGGCACACGATCGCTCGGGGCGTAGTGCAGATCGTACTTGCGTGGCATCTTGACCATCTTACAGTGTTCCCCGCGAGCGGGGATTGCGCGGATCTCAGGCTTCATGACAAAGGTGACTCTTCGGGCGGATGACTTTGACCTCCGTCGTGCTGGAGGAAGACAAGGCTTCTTGAGACAGGATTGACCGGGCACACCAGTTGCTAAACATGCAAACCGATTACTCAGGCAAATGGCGGCGTTCTTTGGGCCCCCTTTGGCTTTTCCTGGCTTCGGGGATTCCTTTCTCGGCTTCGTCTTTGGAGCCGGTGCCGCCTTCTCTCCATGTTTGAAAAAGCACTTGTCTCCCCTCCTACAGGTACCCTGTTGATCATACCTGCATGGGGTTCTGGCCATCTCTTCCTTGGTCATACGCTTCTTTTCTTTGTCCTCGCTCTTTTCCCTTGACTCCTTCCGCTCTTTAGACGGCTGACGCTTCCTAGAAGGGTCGCGTTTGGGCTTCTCATGCTTGAACTTGCAATCCTTCCCTTTTGCACACTTACCCTCCAAGAAGGCCCAACAAATTCCCTTTTCGCGGGAAGTTGGCCGTCCGCGCGACGGGGAGCGCTTTCGCCGAGGATCCACTGTTAGCTGCGTTCTTCTCACTTCGATCACCTGGCTTGAGCCGGTTTCGCTCAGCGATACGTGATCGGTTCTCACGAAGGCGTTCCCGATCTATCAAATCCTTGATGCTTTGCAGTAGGAACTTGTAAGACCGATGGTGATCACCTTCCTTTGCACGATCAAACAGATCGATGTCGTACCTCAAGATTGAGCTATTTCGGATCTGCCTCAAAAGGATATCCCGCAGCACGTTTTCATGCGGTGGTTCGGGCATACCAGCGATCGGTAGCGTCCCAGCGGTTGATGAAGCGCTTCAAATCCGCCACGGTGTCGCCTACCTTCACCACATTGAGGAGATCTTCAACCCTGTAAAGGCTTCCCGCTTCTTCTGAGGTCTTGAAATAATCATCGAACATAAGAAGAATCATCCTTCCACGAATCTGGATGCCTAGCTTTGCCTTCTCTTCTTTGTAGTTGATGATTCGATTGGCTAGGTCACCCTTTGCACGTCTGGTCAATGCAGCTGCCAATTTAGTGTCCAGAGTGGACTTACCTGGATTGGACAACCGATCTTCCAGAACACTTCTTTCATCAACAGTGTTGTATACCTCCATCAACCAGTCCCAGGCAGCGTCTGTTTTGTCTGAACATGATCTGATTTCGAGGGTGTTTCCATTGCCGATAGGTTTCAGGGGTTGGCGTATCATTCAACTTGATATGATCTGCCTCCTTGACCTTTGGCTTCTCATCCGAATCCCTTTGAGTGAGTGACTTGACCAGTTCGGTCACCTGCTCTGAGGTGATAGCACCTGACGAAGCTGGCTTGTGAGGTTCACGAATTGAAGGTGCAGGGCTATGAAACAGGTGAGTTGGTGTCTTGCCGCTGTCCAATCCGGTACCTCCTTGAACGGGAAGCATAGGCTTGATTGGTACAGTTGCCCCAGCAGGGGCATCACCAGTGACGGTGGCAGCAGGCACTTTAGGTCCAAACAACCCACTCAAACGTGCACTAGCCTCTGCAGCGATGGTCTCAAATGTACCTTTCTTTTCCTGCTCGCCTTGCCTAGGCGTTACCATTGGCGAAGCAATTATGCTAGTTGGAATGTACTCTGGCTCGCCGGTGTCCTTGTTGTCAGCCCTCAAGTCATCAATGATTTGTTGTAGGCTATAGTTCTCGTTTTCTGCCTCTCTCAAATCACGCTGAAGTTTGAGCTCACGCTCATCAAACTCTGCACGAAGTTTCACTACACCTTGTTCAGCGCTCACTGTGATGGCATTCACTGTTTGCTGACACTCATGCATGATCTGCGTGCGCAAAGAATCCATCTCTGCTTTCTTTGCTTCAGCTTCCAATGCTCTATCGTTTTCTAGCTTGAAAATGCGTGCCTTTGCAGTGCTAAGCTCTGCTCGCAGCTTGTCATAGCTAGACTGGGCTTGTTGTTTCACCGAACTAACTTCCTCATGGTGTCTGCCTTCTACCTCAAGGATCGCCTGATGGAACTTGGCTTTTACCGTGTCCATCCATTGTGCTAATACCTCTTTGTGCCTTCGCTCAGCCTCAGCAATGATAGCATCCTCATTACCATTGTACACCTGCTGAATGTTCTGCTGCATGAATTGGAAGTAACGCCGTTACTGGAGCTGAACCCATAGGATCATCTAGATCTACGTTGGGCTCAGTCACGAGACCGGCTGGCACAGCGACTGATGATGTGGCATTACCAGGAAGAGCGAGAGCATCCATGGCTGTGGTTAGAGCACTACGGCTGATAACCTATAGAAACAGCCGTTAAGCTGGTTGGTTTCCAAAATGTCTTTTCCCAAGATGGTGCACTCATCGCAATTCCATGGGGGCCCGCTTCTAAATCTCCTTTAAGCTCCAAGCACACTCAAGCCACAGGGACGTTAAACATGAAGGCGTGTCAACTGCAAAAGCTGTGAGAGGTGTCTAGCGGGGACCCTTTCGTTGAGCTGCTGGAGCTGTTGTTGCTGCTACTGCTGCTGCTGGACTTCCCCACTTTTGTTCTCAGAAATCTTCAAGACGACGTAGGAAGGATGTAAGAGCTGACTCAAAAGATTTGGACGTTGGATGGGCAAATGGTCAAGAAATGGACCGTCGTCTAGCGCGGTGCTAGCGCGGATCTAGCGCCAGCCTAGCGCAAAAATATCCGTCGATTTCTATATCCTGTCAGATTCTTATTTGTCCTGCTTGCTTGTCTTCTTCTTCTTGTTGTGCATTCTTGTTCTTCTTCTTTTCTATTTTTCTTGTCTTAGTCTTTCTTCTTCTTTTTCCTGCTCTCTGCTTGTTTCTTTTTCCTGCTTGCTTATCCTGTTATGAAGAAATCTAGCGCCAATCTAGCGCTGCCTTGCTGTATCACCATAGTCTGCTGGGGGCCCGCTTCTAAACGAAGACTTAAAAACACATCTCCAACCTTAAAAGTTTACGTTTATCTATATTTTTTGAGTAGGGCTTTTTGAGCGCAGTCCAGCTGCAACACCTGTTTTGGGCCGCGAGCTGCAGTAGTCTGGTATGATGACATCCTATACATATGTGCAGGGTAAAGTGTACATATTACATGGAGTGAAAATACAATATCGAATCAACATGAACACATCATAAAACATCGACATGTAGGTTCACCATGGTTCACCCCGGACCCCTCAACAAACAAGAGTTCCATAGAGTTCCTATATCTGGTGCCTTGAAGTCAGGATCAGCTTTGGTGCCAAAGGGCAGTCCTGTTGGGGCTCTTTGAAAAGCCCGGAGACTGTTTCTTCCCCACAAATGCAGCAAGGGTAAGGTTGACAGGGTAGTAAGTACGTCAAGCCTTACAAAACGGAGTCAAGAGCACGTGGCTTCAGCGGTCCTTTTACTGTAACTTTTTAACTTGCTTTGAAGGAAGAACAATCAAGGATCCATTTGTTGCACAGAATAAACGACCAAGAAGCCAATAAGGCAGCTAAAGAACGGCAATTGGCCAGCAATAGTGCCCTGGAAGCCTCTTGTACAAGCTTAGCCCAAAAACATCAAAGCCTTTTCATTGTTGATTTGGCCAGCATTGCACCCTGAAGAGAGGAAACATACGGGTCTTCCGCAAGATTCCAGGTTTCCGAATAAGATTGCGTTCATTCTGGGCAAATGTCCTCCCCAGAAATCTCTGCCGGGCAGCAATGTCCATCGGGGAACTGCGCTATCCGATCTTCAATCACCTCCCTGATCTCCTTGGCGGTCATCCCATCAACGCTTTTGAGCAAATGGGGATCCTCAGCAAAGCTTCAATAAGGTTGACTTTATAGTTTACTTCCAGCAGGGACGGTCTGTCAGCACACCGAAGCGCTGACACTTGTAAGTTCGAAAGAAGAAGAGAAACAACATTGACGCATAAGGCCAGTGCCAAACTAGTGTCAATGTGTTTCGGAAAGGTTGCCCTTGAGATCAAACTTAAGCATGAGCAACTAAGCTCCAGTCCATTCCATAGCTTTTGAGAACATTGCCCACTTCCAGCCCCAGGTGCATGGCCGCTTCATCCACTTTCGTCACTTTGACAGGCAAAGTCTCAGACAAATTGAGTCCCAAAGGCTTTGTATGCCAATGGACAATGCGGGTTCCTTTGTCACTCTCAAACTTCAAGAGCAAGCCTCAGAATTCTTCATGCGACAAGTAAATTCTTCAAGCTGACCAACGCTCACAAATTTCAAAAGGCAGTGACTTATCCTTTGGCCGTCGAACACTCGTGTGGCCCACGAAAAATTAACAAAGGATGGGCTCCAGCCCGGCATCAAAAGAACACATACTAGAAGCAAACACCTGGTGGCGTGGTGCCAACGGAAGCTGGTCAACACGCTCCTTCAACTCCATCCAAACATTCTCGAAGCTCTTATTTTTGATACTGGCCATTCCAACAATGTCCTGAGTTTGCATTTGTGCGAGGATGTGTTCCCCAGACTTTATGCCTATAGAGTCTTGCATCAAATCAAGACGCATTCTCCAAGCGTCTAAGCCATACCGAAAGTGCTTCAAGAACCAGAACAAAGCTGCATATGAATACCTGCAGAATACATGCAGCACTACAAGAAAACAAAACTAAGACCTTGTCGTCTCCAATGCCGACAAGAACGTCGTCTCTCAACACGCCCATGTGACTGGCATCGTGACCAATGTAGGCCACCGATAAAGGTACTTGATTCTCATAGAATCCCAACCCCAACGGCTGATACTTCCAAATTGCTCTCTGATTCCAACCAGTGTCTGTTTCAAAGTCCAAAATCACCGCACGAACACGTGGCTCATCAACATCGGGAGTTTCCTGCTTGGATCTACAGCAACAGTACCACCATGTGATCACTGCCGCAATTGCGGCGATCACCACAAGGGCAATGATACTCACCTGAGTCCAGCTGATTGTATCAGTGTCCAATATCAGCATTGCAACACCTGGTTCTATAACATCGCCAGGCAGAACTGCTTGCACGTAGTATACCCTTCCAGGCATTTCTGCTGTTGCCTCCACAGAGCCATTCCTTGCAGCAACCCTGTAGATCTTGTCTCCAGTGCCTACGTAATCTCCAGCTTTCACATACCATTGCTGAAACACAGCTTTATGAGCTGAAGCAACTCCTGGATCAGCTGCTCTGACAACTTGCTTGTGTTCCAGGCTCATGTTGGGCAACTCAAACATGTGTGGATTGGTGATGAATTGAGGAGCAGCAACAAATACTTCAGCTTTGACGTCTGCACAAATCACAGCTGCGGTGCAGGAAAATAAAAAGTTGTGAAACTCATTGGCTCCGACTTCAAATTGAAGTTCAAAAGAATCAATATTCACAAATCGCACTGTGCCCGCATGATTCATCTGGTCTGCAGTGAGAGCCGAGGGCTTCGATGGGCTATGCTGCTGGAGATCAGTCTGGCTTGCCTTCAAGGACACCGAATAATTCTGTTTCTCAACGATGATGGAGGAGTCTTTGGATACGATCGCATCACTCCACTTCCCAAGAATGCGAACATGCTTGAAACCATGCTGGTCTTTTTCGGAGCCCAGCAGGTCGAAAAAGGACATTGCAAAGTAAGGTAGAGTGATCGGCCTTTGTGTTTCGGAGGACAAAAAGCTCACGTTCATCCTAGATGTTTCTGCATTGTTGGTCACTATTCCGAAGCCCTCGTGAAGCCCTAGTTTTGCCTTGCTCGTATCATGCAAGGCATGAAATACCATGTCGATGCCCACATCATCCTGGTCCACCAGTCTGTAAACGACTTTGTCATCTGCTCTGTCCAGGCTGGCAATCTCCGACACAATACTATCAATCTCAAAGGACTGGGAACACAATCCCAAAGTGGGGTGGCCTAGGCTCTCCGCTGTGGCTTGCGTGCAAAGAACAGTACATATGCGTGTTTAAGTAACTTTAACAAGTAGACAGTCGACTTGAGAAAGCCATGCGCGAAATGTTGCTAAGCAGCTCTGAGTCCGGGCAACCTTCTCCAGTGCAGTAGGCAAAAAAACCTGCAAAACGTGAGGCAAGGTCTTACATGCTTTTGACCACAAAAAACCTAAATAATGGCAATGGCCTCCAGCCTAATATGAAACAAATCTCTACCAACTCACCTGCCTTGTTTACCCGTGTAAGGTCCCATAAATCCAAAGGATTCTAGTGATTGGGGAGAACGGGCAACGGGTGTCCTGGTCTCCATAAGAAGACAATCGCGACAACTGCAGTGAGCACCAACGCCACAAGCCAAGACTTATTCACAGACTCCCGCTGAATGCTGGCCTCACCACGAATTGGATCAACTCTGTGCAAGCGTCGTGCCAACTTGTGTAAACAATGATGAATATCTTTGGTTAAGTGACGGACCTGCACAAAAAATACGCCGGCATACACTAGACCCCAGATAGCAACTCACTGAAACGGAAGCGCATCTTTTCCTCTTAGCCCAGCGAGCCCGTGAGACAAGTGGGGAGACACATAAGGAGACAAGTGGGAAGACAAGGCAGCAGCGGCACAGCAGCGGCCCAGCAGCCGCACACATCAGCGGCAAACCAAAACAGAAGACAGGCACCCAGTCATCGAGAAGTAAGAACCCCTATAGCTATCGCTATCTGGGGAAAGAACTGACGCGGGTTGAAAAACTGCTTCAGGTGCTGACAGTTTTGACCACATAGTGCAGTATCGGCAGTATACTGTAAGATCCAACAGCTTGGTAAACCTCAAACGTCCGTCTTTTGAATGAAAGCGCTGTCCTCTCGCATAGATGCTCCAGGGGTGGAGTTGTTCCTGGAGTCGTTCCTTCCCAAAAGCTCTGCAAGCATGACTGCCGTGAGTCAGCACTGCACAGCAGCGGAGAGAAATCTACTGTCTACGACCTTCTCATGATAGGACAACACATCAAAAAAAACATTTGTCGTACTTGGAAGAATGTCGGTTAGTGCATCTTGTCCGACTTAAAAGCTTGAGCCAGTCGCATTTGCATGCATGCACACCGTGGAGCAATTGCAGCAATTGCTCGCCTTGACAAGCTGAGAAACTTGTATATTGTAATGCTTGATGCAAACAACAAACTGTCTATACAGGATGGCAAACGTTAACGTACATTGACATAATATATGTTAATTACATCTACTTGCAGTCATCAGCCCAGCAAGCATGCTGTCTTCCATCCGCTCTTTGCACCAGGCTTCGAGGATTGTTGATGAGTGCAGCCGCCATGACCTATTGTACGTTGAATATGATATCTTGGATAACCAATGGAATGGAAGGGAGCTCTAATTGTGTACCATGCACATAGTTTATCATCTTATCTTGTGGCAGAATTTGCTGGTTGATTCAGTTGTACTTGTAGAGCTTATCTCATCTTCTTCGATCATTCTATTCCATGTCTTTTCCAGGCTTTCTGTTCTGTTCTGTGCTCTTGAGCGGGGCCAGCGATGATTGAATCATTCTGTGCCCACTTTGCCTCAGGCTATATTTTCTAAATCATGTGGGCACCTTCCGTAGTTTTGCGATGGCAATTGAGAAGTTGACAAACCGTGGAAACTGGCCTGCGAACAACAACTCTCACATGCTTCAAAACTCTACAGTGGTATGTCCACCAACAAGTCAACTATATAAACAGTATGCACCTTACGCGTTGTCTAGTCTAGAAGGTTGGGTGGGGGACGATTGTGTAGTAGGCGAAAAGGGCTGGACTCTGGACTCACATGGTTTTAGTCTCAGGTGTAGGGACAATAAGAAAGGGCAATTGACAAACAGGAAGGAGGACTTAATCCAAGCCTAAACCTGAAGCAAGAAACCGTAAGAGAACGATAGAGCACCTACGACAAAGAAGATACAACAAAGACACGGCGTAGCTGCAAGACCTGTGCAAACGTAGTCAGGGTGGACAATGCACTAGTGATTCTCAAGCGGCCCTAGTCGGCTCTTCTGCATAGCAATTGTACTAAGAAGGCATCGCCAATCTATCATCCTTGGACGGGGACATCTCCCTGTTCGGGCATTGCTATTGCTGCCCGAAGCACACATCGAAGAGGAGACTGACTGTTTACATTCTTTAAAGTGCATGCCAGTGCAACAACTAGCGATAAGGGCAGCAACAACCAATAGAAACGGAACATTACACACAACGGTGGGTGCAAAGCTTCTGGAGGCATCCAAACCTGCGTCCCCAATCCATCATAGATTTCAGGAAGGCCTAGCCCCGCACAGGACCCTTATGCCAAAAAGGTGCTTAAACTCCAAGGTGTGACGAAGAGTGAAAACTGAGCAAGCAGCAGAATTGGAGGGAAGCAGGCGAGGAAAAAGTGTGCCAAGATGACTATCAATCTCAATTAAGCCCTGGAATCATAGACATGACCTGAGAAAGGAGAGGACGAAAGCCAGCGAGAGACCAATATGGTAGTGCAAGACTGGGAGGAAAAAAATAGCGGAACACTTATTGTTGAATGCCTGTAGCTTTCGTGGAGCTTGTATCAACGTGGAGTAGATCAAGATCGGGGCACAGCATGGAGTGTTGAATGTTTTAGGTTTTCTCGATTTTCCTGGCGTGGTGCTCTCTGGAGCGTCCCTGTTTGGTGGTCTATTTGAGAATCCATGTAAAAATAAACGTCAGTGAAGACCAGGAGAAGGATGCCCGAAAGGTGGTTTTTGGTTGTTTTCAAGTGTGGGCATCGTGCATCAATGCGAAGCCCTATAAAGAGCAGGGCTGGGAGAAAAAGAGAGGAGAGCACTCATTCTTGAATGGGTGTAGTTTTCGTGGGGCTGGTATCACCGCGACGTAGATGAAGATCGGAGCACAGCATGAGGTGTTGAATGTTTTTAGTATTCTTGATTTGCTTGGTGCGGCGCCTTCTGGAGCGTCCCTTGTTGGTGCTCTAGTTGAGAAGTCGTGCAAAAATAAACGTCAGTGAACACCAGGAGAATGATGCCCGAAATGGTTTTTGTGGTTGTGTTGAAGTGCGTTTCGGGTATCGTGCATCAATGCGAAGCCCTATAGAGAGCAGGGCTGGGAGGAAAAATAGCAGAGCACCTATTATAGTTGAAAGGTTGTAGTTTCGTGGAGCTGGTATCACTGCGAGTGAGATCAAGATCGGAGGACAGCATGAAGTGTTGAACGCTTGCAGCTTTCTTGCTTCTCCACTTGCGCATCGTTCGCTCCCAGAGCGTTCACTCTTTGTTGCTTGGTCCTTCTTGGTATGATCAAAGCTACACAGTCCCTATGCCCTGCTCAGGACTAGAAAAATTATCTCCAGACCCCTTCATGATGCTGATGATGCACTCTCCGCATCGATTGCATCACTCGCATCACCAAACCCCATGTTCAATGCTTTTCTGACCCTCGCTTTGGAGCGCTCTCCCCCAGCAAGCTCCGGGTTCACCGTCTCAAAAGGTGCCTTTTCGCACCCTCCCCCCCCCCCCACACCCCCTTAACTCACTTCGTTCGCTCTAAGAGCTCAAGCCTAGCCTATCGGCTGGCTTTCGTAATCTTTATAAATAAATATATATGTATATATGATTATATATATATATATATGTATAAATCTCCAGACTGTATGTATGTATATATATATATATATATGAGCCATACTTATAATACATATGAGCAACGTG